AGGCAGGGGGAGGTTAATGGGGGAAAAAGGAGACATATGTACTACTATTTGTAATACTTTAAACAATTTTTTAAAAAGGCAAAAAAAAAGGCAAAATAATAAAATAAAAATAAAACAATAATATAAAAATCAATAAACATATCCTTGGGTGAAGATTAAAAAAAAAATAGCCCTAGCCAGTTTGGCTCAGCGGACCTAAGAGTCCCGGGTTCTATTCTAGTCAAGGGTACGTACCTCAGTTGCAGGCTCCTCCCCGGCCTGGGCCCTGGTCAGGGCTTGTGCAGGAGGCAACCAATCGATGTGTTTCTCTTACATCAATGTTTCTCTCTGTCTTTCCCTCTCTCTTCCACTCTCTGAAAATCAATGGAAAAATATCCTCAGGTGAGGATTTAAAAATACTATTACTAATAATAAAATAAATAAATAAAATAAAAATTTATATCTATTTAAAAAGTAAAATGTATTATATCAAATATATTCAATAATTTTCATCAAGAATATAAATGATTAGCTGACTGACTCCCTAACAGTGTACAAATGTATGTTTTGAAAGCTTTCACAAAATGTTTGCAATATGCCTTAGGTAAAAACATTATTAAAAGAAGCTGGAATTGTCTATAATAATGATGAGATTTTTCATTTTGCTCTGTTTCATCGGAAAGTCTAATTTACTTAATAGAACCTGATCAGACATTAAAAATGTCCTTCAAATTAATACAGCTATTAAAATTTTAAATAGAAATTTGAGTTGATCCATGAAAATACAATCACTTTCCATTAAAATTCTCAAATGTCCTTAAAATAATTCATTTTATATGTGTATTTAGTGAAACAGCATTTAAGATTTTCCTTCCAACTGCATTTATTCAGAGAGATATTAATAGTCAACACAAAATTTCCATGATAAAATTAAATGTCACAGGAAATAAGAGCTTTCTATTTATGACAGGCTCATTAAATTAAACATGAAATCTTATCCTGTGTGTATCTCTTACAGGTTTAATGAAGAGCTCCGGATTCACAGCTCGAAATAACGTTGTCGTTTGGACCCCTCTGAGCCCTGGGTTTCGAAAGTCTTTCTCTTTGGGTGGTTCCTTTTTAAAGCCTGGAGGCTCAGGTGCTGAAGACATCTTGACTGATGATGATTTATTACCTAAAAATAAAATAAGAGACCTTTTTCCTTTGTGCTTGTTTTTTATAATGCTCTTTAAAACGCTATACTAATTTTTTAAAATTACAGTCCAGATATATACCAAAAGTGACTGTCAATTATTTTATTACTTTGTAAAACACATGCTTTGTCAATGGTGCTCTAAGTTTGTTTGACAAAATGGTTATATTTCATCTCTCAGAACCAGTGAGGTGAGCAAAAGTTGTTTCTTACAGAAGCCTGGAGAATTATTTGTTGGTCTGAGTCGCATTGTATCTTGCTATATGAAGGAGGTACTAGGCTAGGAGTGGCCATTGGTTATCCACAATCTTCTCTATTTCCTTCCACTTCCACTCTTTCTCGCCTTCCACAGCCCTCTCAGGACACCAATCTGAGAGAAAACTAGCATTCTTTTGCTCAATTTCTCCTACAGTTCCTCCCCTGTCCCACTTTACCTTCAGGCTCCTCCCTCTTCCCCATTGGCCCAAGCAAGCACTAGTACTAAGCAGTAAGGGTAAGTAGCTGTTTGTCCTCACTCCCCCTTTGCCTATAGCTATTCCCTGGAACACTCATTGGGGCTTTGTTTATACAAGCATTCTTTAAGTCTTCCATTTTATAGACTTTACTAAAATCCTGTTGCATG